CGGCGGGGGGAGCCGGGTGCCGGCAGCGGGAGGCTCCTCAGGCCGCTCCTCCCCTCAGGCCGCGGCGGGAGCTCGGAGCCCCGCGGGACCCGGGCCCGCTCCAGGCCGTGCCGTGCCGTGCCGTGCCGTGCCGTGCCCCGGGCGGGGGCCGCGCCGTGCGGGGCGGCTCCAGCGGGAAAATGGCCTCTCGGAGGATCACCCGCGAGACGTTCGAGGCCGTGGTGCAGGACAAAGTTAAACGGTACCGCATGGAGCGGAGCGATGCCGCGGGGGAATCCATCCATCATTTCAAAGGTGAGGAGGAGCGGGATGTGCCGGCTATTCCGGGAGCTGCCTGCCATCGCCTGCCATTAATTTGCCTTCTGCTGGTGTTTTTCCACATCCATTTTTATCGAAGAGGCGAACAGCTGGCTTGGACTGACACCGTGCAAATTCTGAGGGGAAAAAATGGAAATTCAGACAAAGGAATTCTGTTCAGGCAGCATCAGAGAGTGGGTCCAATTTCAGCGAGGTCTCCAGGGACGTTGCTGCAGGATGGAATTCTGTTGATGGCTGATAAGTTAAATAAATGTAGGAGTGCATTGGAAGCCTTGGGGTCTTTGTGTTTGCTGTTATTTTTGGAGAAAAAGCCCAAAGCAGGACATTGACCTCATGAGCATGACACAAAACGTGATCCCCAAATTATTTTACCATCTAAATTTGAGATTGAAAATGTCCAGAAAAGCACTTGGATCACATTCACGGGGATGGACATTCATAGGAGAGCCTTAAAATGAAAATCTGTTATTTTTATAGTTSTATGAACCCTGAAGAAATAATTTACATCAAACACTTCCATTTTCTTTTCAATATTCTTTACTTTCCAAATCAAACTCCTGGGATTGGCGAATAGGGATCTTGGAAAATGGGAAGCATTTTCTGTAGTAATTAGATAATTTGGTTTGGAGAAGATGGGAGTTTCTGTCCAGCTGTGGAATTCCCCTGGAAGATCTGGTGTGGTTGACAAGGTGGGGATTGGGCAAAGATTGGATTTGATGCTCCTGGAGGTCTTTCCAGTTTTAATTCTGTGAAGCAGAACGTTCAGGTTTTTGATGGTTTTTACGTCTCAGGAACCCCAGTAGAAGATCAGGGTCTGAAAAACGAGGAGCAAAGAAAAAGTGGGGTTTAGAGGAGAACTTGAGCTCCTCAATCTGTGTAGGGATTGGAATATGGCAATGGGARCATCCTGGAGTCAGATCTGTGGATTCCCTTCAGAAATGTTGGTATTTTCACTCTCCTRAACCTCTGACCGTGTCTCTGGTGTTGTTTTCCCAGCTCACCCCAGGCCGCTGCCCCGGCCCCGCTACAACGAGAGCTTCCACGACGACGGGAGGTTCCCTCACGACAATTCCCAGCCCCACGAGGACTGGGGCGAGGATCCCAGGGAGGATTATCCCAGGGAAGACTACCCCGGCCCTTCCTACAGAGCTGCCAGCCCGCTGCTCCGCAAGGACAACTATTTCCACGAACAGTTCGGCCGCCCCGCGCCCCGGGAGCGGGAATTCGGCCGGGATTACGGGCGTCCCGCTCCCCAAAACCGGGAATACGGGCGTGCAGCTGCCCCAAACAGGGAGTACGGGCACCCCGCTGCCCAGAACCGGGAGTACGGACCCCAGAGCCGCGACTACGGGCGGCCAGAGAGGGACTACGGGGGGCTGGCACCTCAYGAGCAGGACTACGGCCCCTCCGAGTCCTGGGAGGCCAGCGGGCCGCACCAAGCCGACTTTGGCTCCTCGGATATYTTAGGGGATTTCAGGTCACCGGGGCTGCTGGAAGAGGAATATGGCGGCGTGGAGAATCAGGAGTACGAGGTGGAGTTCGGGGCGCCSGACAGCGAATTCCGGCCCCCGCTGCGGAGGGGAGGCGTGGGCAGGGGCAGGATCCTGCGGGGGAAGCGCCTCACCAGGGGGGTGCTGAAAACCAAAGTGTTCAAAGGAGAGCTCAAAGCGCCCCTCAAGAAGTGGAACGTGAAGAAGCCGCAGCCAGGCCCGGATCCCCAAGCGCTGGAGCAGCCTCTGGAAGCTGCCGAACGCCCCGGGCAGAGGCCACCGCCCCTCCAGCAGCGCCCCAGCCCCAAGCTGCCCCCGCGCCCTCTGGCAGCCCAGAGACCCATCCTGAGGCTGCCCAAACCCGCCCACGTCTTCAGGAACCTCAACTTCGACCTGGTGGATAAATCTGACATTTTTTCCACCTTCGGCGTCGAAATCATCAAGTGGGCCGGGTTCCACGCCATCAAGAACGACGCCGAGTTCTCGCGGCTCTTCGGGGCCCTCTTCGAGCTGGAGACTGAGACCTGTGCCAAGATGCTGGCGTCCTTCAAGTGCTCGCTGCGGCCCGAGCACAGGGATTACTGCTTCTTCACCATCAAGAGCCTGCAGCACGCCGCCCTCAAAACCCCCAAGGTGGACAACGAGTTTCTGAACATGCTGCTGGACAAGGGCGCCGTGAAAACCAAGAACTGCTTCTTCGAGGTGATCAAACCCTTCGATAAATACATCATGAGGCTGCAGGACCGGCTGCTCAAGGGGGTCACCCCTCTGCTCATGGCCTGCAACGCCTACGAGCTCAGCATCAAAACCAACGGCTTCGGCAACCCCCGCGAGATGGCCAACGCCTTCGAGACCACCGTGTCCCTGTGCCGCAAATCGCTGGCTCTGCTGGGCCAGACCTTYGCTCTGGCCTCTGTGTTCAGGCAGGAGAAAATCCTGGAGGCCGTGGGGCTGCAGGAGATGGCTCCGGCGCCAACGCTCTTCCCGAATTTCGACGATTCCACGCTCTTTGGGAGGGAGTACATTGAGAACYTGAAGGCGTGGCTGGAGAAGAGCGGTTATCCCATCCAGATGAAAAAACCTGAGCCCGAATCCACGGAGCAGCTCCAGGCACCCTCCCCTGACACCAAAGGTAAAAAGGGAGGGAGCTGCTCTGGGATGCCTTTAGGATTCGTTTTCTGTGATTTGTKGATGGTTTCAGTAGGTCAGGAATTCCTGACTGTGGGAATTGCAGGTGAATCCCAATCCAGGCTGGGCAGGGTGTGAGCGCTGTCTGTTGGAGCATTTGTGGTGAAATTGTGTCCTCCCTCTCCTCACCTGCTCAGACCCCAAATCCGAGATTTTCACCCCATTTCGCCCCTCCACTTTCACACCTCAAGGTTGAGAGGACAGGACCAGCCTGGAACTGGCTTCATTACAGAGTCAGTGTTTGCATATATGCAAATTTGGAGGTGATACCATCACTGCTTTAATCAGATTGGGGTGTTTCCTTTGGAGAGGTTCATCTCYTGTCACTGAGTTAGGCCAGGGATTCCTCCTCCCCAGAACATTCCTGCTCATCCTGGTTTTTCCAAATTGAGCTTCAGATCCTTTCTCAGGGAGGTCTTGCAGTGCTGGCACTGAATGGATGAAAATTTGTCACTCAGCCCTTCARAGCAGCGTTCAAATCAACTGATTTTGCAACAAATCCTTTTGCTGCATTAGGAAATTGCCTTTTTGAGGATGATTTCACTTCCCCAGGGTGGCCAAGAATAATTTCCTTTGACCACCATGTTTTCCATGATAAACTGGTGCAGAATCTCAGGTGAATTTTAGAGGTTTTCTTCATTTATTTCGGTTTGGGAAGGAAGCACAGACTGAAACACGAGTTCCACCTTCACTCAGGGAAGAATTCCTTCCCATGGAGGTGGCAGAGCTCTGGAGCAGCTGCCCAGGAAGGGAACCTGGAGCCTCCTCTGAAATCCCAAAGACACCAGACATTTCTGTGTCACCTGCTCCAGGTGRYCCTGCCTGGGCCGGGGTTGGATTTGGGATCTCCAAATTTCCCTTCCCATCTCAGCCATCCTGGAATTCTGTTTCCTGTTAATACCTTGAAAAATTGCAAATGCCAGCGTGTCAGACCCCAAAAATACAACATCTTGATACTGTGCCCATGAGAAAAAAGCCATGAGTGGGTTTGATTGGTTTCTGTTTCTCCCCACAGCCCCGCAGCGAGCTGACAGGAAAGTTGTGGACACAATTGAGCAGYTGGTGACCAGCATCGTGTCAGGAACTCTGTCTGCCAAAGACAGGAATGCTCAGAAGAACTGTCCCGAATATTGGTGGGTGTGCTGGAATGCTGCTCCCCAGCAGATATTTGGAGTAGATGTAATTAAGTTCAGTGTTTCACTCGATGCCAAAGATCAAAGCCTATTGTATATTTAATCCACTTCCTTTTTTTTTTTTTTTTTTTTTTTTTTTTTTTTTTTTTTTTTTTTTTTTTTTTTTTTTTTTTTTTGAGAATGTTTTCCTGAGCTAATTATCCCGATATCCCTGGAAATGATCCCGGTGTTTGTGTTGTGTGGAGGAGATCCCGTTCCTTTTGATGTGCCAATAATGGCTCTTTGTCAATCSCAGCCCGAGGTGTTCAAAGCAATTTGCATCGAGGAGGGGAAGGCAGTGAGCAGGGGCAGGTGATAGAGACATCCAGGAGCTAACAGGATTTAGTGTTCCGTGAAAAACCTTGGGAAAGGGAAGCTGAGACACCCCAGTGCATGACAGCACCTCCTCGTGTGTGAGGATTAATTACCCAAATGATTCATGTCAAACCCTACATTATTTATTTCCTTGGCACACTTTCCTTGCTGCTCCAGACTGTTATTCCAAGAAAAACCTGCTCAGGCTCACGCTAACCCAGTAAACACCTGGAARAGGAAAAATCAAAAGGGGGGTGGATTGCTGCGATGTTGTTCTCCATAAATGCAGGGTTTGAGCTGAGCTGTCCCCTGGTTTGTTGCTCTCAGGTTCCTGTGTGACGAGGACAGCCTGGAGTACAAATATTACCGTTTGAGGCTGGCGGAGGAGCAGAGACGGGCCCAGCCCGGCGAGGCTGCCCAGGGCACCGCCCCCGAGTCCCTGCGGGCCCTGCTCTACGCCCGCAGGGTGGCCAGCATCAAACGGAGGCTGTTCAAGAGGAAAAGGCTGCCACTTGTCCCCCAGCGTGCCACCAGGCCCAGGAAGGTGAGGAGAGCAACCACGGGCACGCAGACCGTGCTGTCGGCGGGGACAGTGCTGAAGCACCAAGACAAACATCTTCCAGGTGCAGGCCAGGCCCAGAGCCCCGGGCCAGAGCCCAGCCTGGCCCAGCAAAGCCCTGCCCAGGACAGCCCCTCGGCCTCCCACGGTGCCACCAGCCCCSAGGGCTCCGTGCCAGCCCAGGACAAGGCAGATCCTGAGGATGTGTCAGCATCACCAGAGCCTTTCCCACCGCTGGCCTCTCAGTTTCCTGATGGTGAGTGAGGATTYGGGCTTAGATTGGAAATTTGGAATTATGTCAGGGTAAAAACAACTTCTCATGCAGCTTGATATGTGAAAAGAGTTCCTGCTGGAAGTCCCAAACACCATTTTTTTCATGATACATTCATTTATGATGGGCACTGCCCTTGCCAGGCTCTGGGTGAAGCTCACAGAGCGTTTTGTTCTTGCAGTGGATGCCAAAACCATGGAAACTGCAGAGAAACTCGCCAAGTTTGTGGCTCAGGTAGGACCCGAAATCGAGCAGTTCAGCATAGACAACAGTGCAGATAACCCCGACCTCTGGTGAGTACTGCAGCTGCACAAACACCACCAGGCTCCCAGGCAGTCCCTGCCAGCTCTTGCTCACATTTCTGCTTTTAGGGTGGTCAGGAGCAGAGGATTTGGGGCAATTCTCCCTGGTTCTTCAGCACCTCCATTATGGTGAAATATCTCAGAAAAAAAAAAACAAAACACTTCTCCCAAATGCACCCATTCACTGATGGGTGTCATCATTTCATTTTGATCCTGATAATCCACCCGAATCCTGAGACAGTGAATTTTCAGGATATGCTCTGAATTATCCCAACCACCAGCAGAGTTTGGGAAGTGCTGCTGGACATCAGCTGAGGAGGAGAATTGCTCCAGTTCTCCCCAAACACACCCAAGTGGCCACTCAGAATTCAACCTGAGATTTATTTGTAATGTCTCACTTCATAGCAGCTGAAGAAAATCTCTTCCTGACCTTATTTCCCTGGGTTTTTGTTGTTGTTGTTGTTGTTGTTGTTGGCTCAGGTTCCTCCAGGATCAAAACAGCTCCGCTTTCAAGTTCTACAGAATGAAAGTTTATGAGTTGTGTCCCTCCATCAACTTCAATGCCGAGGCAGCTGAGGCTGGAGAAAATGCCAAAGCTGGGGAGAGAACCCTGGAGATCTCAGAAGAGGAAGAGGAGGAGGAGGAAGAGGAAGAAGAGGAAGAAGASAACGAGGAGGAAGCTGAGTTTGAGGAGGAAACCTCCCAAGCTGTGGAAGAGGCGGAGGGGGACGAGGAGGCCGTGGCAGCAGGTAGAAGTGTGGCAAGGCTAGAGGAAGAGCTGCTTTCCAGAGCAGGAGAGGAGGTGGCAGGAGCTGAAGCGCAGCTTGGCAGCCCCTCTGATGGTGCTGTCCCAAATCTGTCGACACAGGCACCCGGCCCGGCCCCCGGCGCGCGCTTCCCCCGCAAACGCATCAGCAGCAAGTCCCTGAAAGTTGGSATGATCCCGGCTTCCAAAAGGATCTGCCTCATAGAGGAGCCCAAAGGTCAGTGGGCCATGGCAACACTCCCCTTGGTGTCAAAATCAGAAAKCATTTGTAGCTGTCAGGACAAAAATCCCGATTTTTGAGGTGATTTGGTGCCGGTTGTTGGTTAAAAGAATTGGATTTCTTTCATAAAAATGGTGGATTTCTTTTGGATTTCTTTTCATAAATTGGATTTCTTTTCATAAAAATTTCTTTCATTTAAATGGTTAAAGTGGCAGAGGAGAAGCTGAATAAATCATTGGTGTCATGGGGCAACAGCAAAGTTGGTATCAAACATCTTCCTTCAAATACTCTCTTAAGTATATATTTATTTTTTTTAATTCTGATCTTTCTTGTGGCTCTGATCTCTCACTGGTTCTGTTTTAGGTGCAGGCATTGAGYTGGGGTTGAAATGCACTTTTTGGAGGTTTTGTGGCTGCCCTTTGGAGCTCTGTACCAAAATGGTTTTGTTTTGCAGCTGAATTCTGGCTTTGGTTTGCCTTGCAGTGCATGAACCTGTCAGGATTGCTTATGACAGACCCCGGGGYTGCCCTGTCACAAAGAAGAAAAAGGTAAAGAATTCCTCTGCTTTCCATTTCTGCTCTCACTGGAAAAGCCCCAAAGAGGTGTCCCTGCCATAAAACCAAACTAAACCCAAGGAACTTCCTCCTGGAACAATCTGGGCTAAACCTGGGGAGAGCTGTGGCTCCTCCCAAAAACTTTTTTTTTTAGATTTTAACCCTGTGTGTCAAAATTAAACTTTTTTTTTTTTTTAATTGAAAATCTGGGTGTTCATTTTAGAAAAAAGAAAGAAATGGGTGCTTTGCTGCTGGGAAAACAATGCTGTCATTTTCCCAAATCTGTGAGGTTTTATTGAACTGAACAGGGATTGGCTCAGCAAATCATTCAATATTTATTAACAAAAAGCATAATTTATTTTTCAAATGYAAAGGGGCATTATTGGCATTTGAACAGTGCAGTTAAACCGTTTGAGAAGCAGGAATTGGGGCTTTTTTTTTAGGGAATTACCCTTTGAGTGAGTTTTTTTTTTCTGAAGAAGAGAAAGCAGAAGATATTTCTGTATCTGCAGAAATGCAAACACAATTCATGGCAGGGTGGGGGTGGATTGGAGGCATTTCCAATAAATCACAGCCCTCTCTGCCTTTTCTCCTTTTTCTCCCCAGAAACCGAAGGATTTGGAGTTTTCCCACAAGAGGCTGACCCCCAGGAACGTGGGGTTCCAGATGCTGCAGAGGATGGGATGGCAGGAGGGGCACGGCCTGGGCACACGGGGCAGGGGCATCCGCGAGCCTGTCAAAGTGTATGTAAGGAAAATGAGGAAAAATGGGGGAAAAATGGGAAAAATTGGGGAAAATCGGGGAAAATCAGGGATCTGGGAGCAGCCAGACTCACCCTGGCACGGCTTCATTGCCCAGGGTTCTCCCTGGTGCCCCATCTCACCCAGAACTGATCAGCAAAACGCAGGGATCTCTCGGGTTTAGGCAATAATTGGATTTTTTCTCTGATTTTGTGGTTTATTCCACGTGGGGAGAGGTAAGTGCAGCTGGCACGAGGTGAGTTCTGCCTGYACAAAACACCTTTTTTAAAAAGAAAACATTGATTTTGTGATTGAGAGCTGCTGTGCCCAGTCCAGCACAGAACAGAGARTAATTCCTTGTGGATAACATTCCCTTCATTCCCCTGCCCAAAGCAGGAGCAGAAATTTGATTTCTTTATGAATTTCTCCCTTTCCAGTCCACACACACAGAAATTTCCCTTCTCCAGGGATTTCTGTGCTCTCTTCATGCCCTGGGGGCATTCCTGGTTATTTTAATTGGTGATTAATTATGAAATTATTGACTCCTCCATGTTTGCTCTCTTTTCCCACTGGCCATGGTTATATTTCCAGATTTCTGTATTATTCCCATATTTTCCTTCTCCAGCAGGACCAGCTCTGGCCCAGCCCTGGCTCTGCACCCCAAAACCTTTGTTGGGATCAAATCCAGGAACAATTTGGGTTCTTCCTGGAGCTCCTTGCACTGGTTTTGCAGCCAATCAGGGGTTAATTCATTAATTAATTAATGAGGTCTGCTCTGACCACCACATTCTGGAGGTTTCTGGCCTTCATGAGCAACTGGGTTTTTATTAGGAGAAAATGGAGCTTTTAATATGGGAAATTAAGAATTTTTAATATGGGAAATTATAGTTTAAATATGGGAAATTAAGACCATATTAATTAAGTCCCATAAATACCCAAATCAGGGGGTTTTGGGGCATCTTTTCAGCAGAGGATCAGGCCTGAYGTTCACTCATTTCTGAAATACCAAAATCAGGTTTTTTGGCATTTTTTCAGCAGGGGATGAGGCCTGGAGTTAAAATCAATGCCATAATTTGCTCTGCCCTTGATCATTTGATCACTTGAACTGATTTTATCCCCACTGCTCCCGTGCCATCCCCAGGACCCTTTTCCTGTGGGAATTTCCCGTGGAAGGGAGGTGGGGGATGTTTTGGGATGTTTTATGGGATTGGGGCACCCCCTGAGCCCTGCCCATGTCTGGAACCCACTTTTGGGGTCTCAGGCCCCTCTGACTGTGCCCATTCTGCTCCCCAGGGGTGCCACCTCTGCAGGGGAGGGCCTGGGCGTGGCGGGGGAGGAGAACAAAGAGGACGCGTTCGATGTKTTCCGGCAGAGAATGATCCAGATGTACCGGCAGAAACGAGCCAGTAAATAGGTACGTGTGGGATGGGGCAGTACCCACAGCCCAGAGCTGCTCCCAGACACTCCTGCTGCTGCTACGGGGTGCTGGGTCACCCCAAAATCACCCCTGCTGCTGCCACGGAGTGCTGAGTGACCCCAAAACCACTCCTGCTGCTGCCACGGGTGCTGGGTGACCCCAAAACCACTCCTGCTGCTGCTACGGAGTGCTGGGTGACCCCAAAGCCACTCCTGCTGCTGCCACGGAGTGCTGAGTGACCCCAAAGCCACTCCTGCTGCTGCCACGGGGTGCTG